AGGACGCAAAGCGTCGCAGCGCTAGAACTATCCTAAAAATCTGCCGGTAGCACAACCTTAACGACCTAATATAAAACGGAAGACATTAATCTCGTAAAAGTCAACCCTATAAAACACAACGTGTGTTGTACTGGAAAATCTAGAGGTGTGCTGATAAAATTGATACGTTACTTTGTCATGGAGCGTATTTCCAAGTTGCAACTGGAACTCTTAATCAGAAGTTTGTGTCCCGGGCCCCAGCGTTCTACCTACCAAGTTATGACAACTGTGTTAAAAGGGTACAAGTGTTTCAAATTCATCTGAGATGACATTTTAACCTGGCTATTTGCAAGAGAATCGCTCAGTTATCCTATCAAGGAATACAAAATACCTATTTTTTTGTATCTTTCTTTTTTGTTCCTATGTATTTCTTCACGTAAGGTATCCTTAAAACTTTCATTTATTTATTGTTCTTTTGGGCATACATACCTATGTATATGTATCAAAAAATTTTATCAAAATGACATATACATATAAAAAAAAATACACTAATATGTATAAATATAGTAAAAAAGAGCATAAATATCAGAAACACAAGTAAACCATTAACAAGCAAAACTTACAATAAACAAAGCTCAGTAACAGCATATTAGCATTTCTCGACGAGAAACTGACTCAGATTTGTTTTGAACATTTTTATTTGTCTAGCTTAGTAGCTTATTAAAGACTTTCTAACCACTTAGGTGACTTTCGTGATACATTATTCCAAAAAATACATCCATATACATCAGCAATCGAAGTAGAAGAACCCAAAAAACAAATAATTTACCTCAATCTCGACAAAATCTGTTCATAGTAAAGACTAGTCAGCTGAAGCTCACTAAGAATTGTCCGCAGACTTTTATACATATAAGAATAAGAATTCGGCATTGATATGGTATGACTACAAAGATCTTTGAAATTCAAATGTGCGTTCAGGTATATGCCCAGAAATATAGTATCATCATTGCCTAGCTTTAGTGATTTGTCATCTAGTTCATCAGATGTGGATAGTCTAACCTTTTCTGTGCATTATGGAACCTTACCAGTGCAGTCTCTTTGGAATTTATTAATAATTCTGAGCAAACTATTCACTAAGTTGTTTTAAAGTACCTATTACTGTTTTGTTAACAGTAATTCTCCATCACTTTCCGACAGTATTAGGTAGTATAGAACACCTATATCGTTTATATACAGGGTGGCGCATCGAAAACGAAACAGACGCATCTACTGGCAAGGTCTTTCAATTCCCTTTATAATGGTGTAAAACACATGAGCTTCAGTTCAGTAGTTTTGAAGATTTATTGATTTAAAGCTTAAAGTAGACTTTAATAGGTGCATCAGATTAGTTTGTACTACTTTCAGAAGAAATTTGACTAAAAGAATTTACTTAATAAGTAAATGCTTTTCTTCACTACGCCCATGGGTTGTTTATGATTTTTTTGTTGAAAATAGCGATTGGAGCGTTTTTTTTTGTGGCAAAAAAGTTATTTCTTGAAGAAAGATAAGGAAATATCTCGTACTTATTTTAAATAGGAATTTAGTACATAGCTTGCGATTGATCTGACCAAACTTTGTTGCTAAAATAACTTGTAACGCTTTATTACATAAATTAATTATGGTATATTCCACAGCAGAAAGAGTTGAAATTATCGAAATATTTTCCGGAAATAATCAGTGTTCTAATAGAACAGCAGAAATATTTAATGAGCCACATGAGAACAGTAACGTGCATCGAAAATATGTTCTAGAACTTGTAGCTAAATTTCGGGAGAACTGGGTCAGCCGCCAATAAAAAACGCAACATTGAAAGTCCCATAAGGAAAAAAGCAATAGAAGTGGGGGTTCTAGGTCAAGTTTATGTAGATCCTACGTTAAGTACCCGCAAATTGGAGACTGTGTGCGGTGTTAGTCGACGTACTGTCCAACGGATTCTAACGGCCCATAGTTTTCATCAGTATAAAATTCATCTGGTACAAGAACTTAATGAAGACGATTTTGATCGGCGATTACAATTTTGTGGAGATATGAGTGAACGAATTGTAAACGACGAACATTTTCTATTCAACTGCTTTTCCGATGACTGTTCTTTTTTCTTAAATGGCGTAGTAAATCGTCATAACTGCCGACATTGGTGCGATTCTAATCCCAGAATTTATCATGAGGATCATACACAGCAGCCACAAAAATTAAATGTTTGGGATGGTATTTTTGGCGATCATTTAGTTGGTCCTTTTTTCTTACCCGGAAATTTGACCGGTGAAATGTCTTTGGAATTACTGGAAGATGCCATAGATCCTGCATTAACAGCCATAATTGAAAATCAGAATGATCGGCGGTACATTGCGAATAGGTTGATGTTCCAACAGGATGGTGCCCCACCACATTACGCGTTAATATTTAGTTCAAACGTTTCCAGATCGATGGATTGGTAGAAAAGGTGCCATTAAATGGCCCCCAAGATCGCCAGATTTATCACCTTTGGATTTCTTTATGTGGGGTCATTTAAAAAGCAAAATCTATGCCAGTCAGCCAACACCATTAGAAGACCTGCGACAAATAATTGTGAATGAGTGCCTTCAAATTACTCCTCAAATATTGCAAAATGTGCGGCAACGTTTTGAGCAAAATCTTTATTATTGAGTGTCAAAGACTGTTGCCACAAAGGAGTATCAATGACAAATAAAAGTAATGCCACGAAAGAAAAATCTTGTGTGTGGCCATCCCATTATTGTCAGTTGTCTATCCGCAGATATAAATAAAGTCTATCAAGTACTTGCTAATGCACTATGCACTTCTTACGCACGCACTGACATAATTTGGTGTTACACGATCACTGGCAGAAATGCGAAAACCTTGAACTGACATTGTGGCACTTTAACTAAATTCAATAATAAATAACATAAATCAAAAGGCTAATCTAAAAAAGAGTACATCTAAGATAAAGGACAATAAAAACTAAAATGACATTACAAAACTGGTAGTTGCATTTGTGTTGTGAGCAATAAAGACAAGGATATATCAAGCATAGAATAGAATAAAATTAAATGCCCATCATACATGAGATACGGTATAAGCATATAAATGACTACAATAAAACATAATAAAATCTAATAAAATATAATAACGTACAATAAAATATGATAAAATAATAAATTAATAGAATGGAGCAATTATTCTAAAAACGGTGACTTCATTTGGGTTGTGAGAGTGACATATATAGTGTTTTGCCTTCTATATAATTATGTATTATGCTCCTGGATATACCTTTCACCCAGACTGAGATTTTTTTCTTGAATAAAGCAATGTTTCGTCATATTTGTGAGCGATTTCCTCATGAAATGATTTATTTTTAAAGTAGTATACCATGCAATTATAAATAAAGGTTTGCCTAATGTCCATAATTCCAGACTCATGGTATAGCTCATCAGATGGATGAGTTTTGCTCTTGCTATAAAGAATTTTTAATAAATATTTTTGGGCAATCTCCAAGTTCTTTATGTAAGTGAAGCCAGCTCCTCCCCAGCCAAGTATTCCATAGCAAAGATGTGACTGCACAAGTGCGAAGTATAAGATTCTCATGCAATCTGTATTAAGGATGTTTCTAAGACATTTGAATTTTGGAATGAGGCATCTTATTTTCTTTGTCATGCTGGCCATTTCCAGCATTTACTTGCCTCTCGGCTCAGTTCATTCTTCATTTTTAAATTACTTTGCTGCCAAATTTATTGATCTCCACTAATGATGATGTATTATTTTTATTTAAGCTTTAAATCGATAAATCTTCAAAACTACTGAACTGAATTACATTAGTTTTATATCATTATAAAAGGAATTGAAAGACCTTTAAAATAAGGTATCACTCGACCCCCCCTTACATTTAAGATTTTGGGGGTGGTGTCACCTCCCTTAGGGGCTGCACGTGCTAACGTGATTTTTTGACAAACTTGTGTCCCCCTCGAAAACAAAATCGACGGGTCTGAGCCTTTTTCCAAAAAAAAAACTGAGCTGCCAGTAAATGCGTCTGTTTCGTTTTCGATGCGCCACCCTGTATAATATAAACGTGGTAGGTCCCAAGATAGATCCCTGAGGAACTCCCATATGAATATCTTTGGTCTGGGGCTAAGAATATGTAAAAAACAATGGCTTCACTGAAACATGGAAAATTAGTCAGTGATATACAAAAACCGAAAGCGTTAGACAATATTTGAAGTGACATGAAGAGGAAATCAAACGCCGAATATTATAACATGCTGTTACAGGACTGATTTCTCTGTTACAAGTGGCGAAAACTGTGGAAACACAGGGTCTACTGGCAGCACCGCTGACTTGGAAACACTGCAATGCCTTAATAATGGAGATAACCAGCTTAAGGAGCTTCAATGCTTATCCTACAATAAAAAAATATTCTACGAATAGAACACCTATTTTCCAAATTATGCCCAAGTGGAACGACTCATCTCTTTTTGGTGGTATGATAATAAGATCTCACTGAAGAACAATGAGTGATAAAAATGTTAGAAGAACTCGTTTTACTTTGTCTCAGTTGAAACCGTCAAAGTATGATATTTTGTCACATTTGCTCGAATAAAATATCGGTTTCTGCAAAAGTATTTATCCTTAATAGGTATTTTTAGATACTAACAACAAATTAAAATGATAGCAATATATTTTATTTATCTATATTATCAATGTCGTGATGAATTGTACTTTGAAAGAGGCCATATAGGTGGCCGAAACGTTATTAACTTCTCATTTCCACATTTGTAGTTTCATGGAGACTGATCAGAGAGACAAACAAAGGATATATTTCCGATAAACAGCCGTAATATGAAGCAGTGATACTTAAGCACTTTGCGACTGTCCAGGTATTACCAATATTACTCTAGGAGGTCATTGCTTCTTTATGCCTACTCTAAGAGTACCTCGATATTTAATGTACAAGTGTCGTAATAACGCCTGAGCACTGACATGTTCGCTGATTACTCTACCTCCAATAAAAAACTAGAATTTAAAATGTACCTACATCATTTATCTCAAACGCAAAAATATCGAGTTCATCTTTAATACCTCACATATCTATAGAGTGCAAAATCGTGCATGGTATCACAGCGGAAAGGGATAATAATATTATTTGTAACTGTTCCTCTCATCTCTAGCACGTGTAGCTCTATAAGCTTGCTTCCCCGTATAGCTCGAATTCCCAAGTAAATTTAATAGAAGGCCTTGGTCATTGTGCAGTGTTTTGTTCCGACGACATTACGTTGTTTTGCTGTATAAACAGAAACAATGGATGTTTTACACACTCCATTGTTTCCTTATCTTCAAGACATTGATAAATTAAGGTTAGTTTTAAGGCGGCCATCTTTGTGCTCAATGCATATTATTTAAAAGATAAAGAGATACGGCGAGTATAGGAGAAACGGCGAAACTATTTGCTTTCATCAACCATTCATACTACCATTCATTAATTATGGTTTTTCGGGTGGATCGCTTTGTTTAGCAGCCGAACTCCAAGCTATAATGAAAGCGTTTCGGGGAGAACTGGCATGTCATTTATCTATTCTAGTTACAGCGTGATTTCGAGATGATAGTATAATCTGTATTTGCTAAGGGCAGGTTGGCTGTACAAGGTGTTGCAGGATGGCTTCTCAAGCTGCTAAAAACATTCTTGAAATAAAACGACTTACTTTTTAATACAGGAGGTAAAGCGATTGAGCAGCTTCAGAGAATTATCTGGATGTATTAAGAAAATGCGTTCAATTTCACATTTATGAAGTTTTGAAAGAAGTGTCTGTCTGTCAAATAAGTTGATCGACTTCGTCAGAATGTCGGAATTACTGGGGAAAAATGTGAAACGGAGAGCCTAATAGGCCAGTGAGTCGCAGTAGATCGTGATTGACCTATTCACAAAAAAACATAATCTAACCTGGCGGCCATTAGCAGCAACAGATTCTTCAGGTGTACTCTTGAAAATATGAACAGCTTGGTCACACATATCGCACCGGGGAACAGAGTTCACTTCTTCAATAATCGGCAGGGGTATTACGTAAAGATTTCACTTGCTCGATCATGTCCGAGATATGCCTAAGAGGTGCGTAGACTTACCGTTTAAATTGCAGGCACGTACTTTCCCCCACCCCCTACAACCCACCACATACAAGTCCTAATTTCCATGAAAATTCTTAGGATCCGCAGAAACATCAAAAAACAAAGTTTGAGCGATTTATGTTGTTTTGGCTTTTTTTTCGTTCTTGGCATAGTACTGACCCTGTGTAAAGATTTCATCATGATCCGAGCGGTAGTTCTTAAATTTTAGACGGATCAATGAATAGCGGACAGACAGACAGACCGACAAATCGGCAGATCGACAGACCGACAGAAATGACTGATCGGAAAAGCGTAATCTCTCAATTGTTTGCGGTTCCAATGCATCCTCGACCTGTAGCATAGGAAGTAAATACGCTAACTTGCGTTAATTTGGGAATAAGAATAAAACGAAAATTAAAAATCATTAAAAAACACCTGCCTTTCTGTGTCCAGTGCCTACATGTCATCGGAATCAATGTACCTAACTCCGCTACACGCGAGCGTCAATTTGCCGCGCTGCATAAATACTTGCTGTTTACAGGGCACGCGTTTCATTGCGCGTTGACAGGTCCTGATAAGCGTTTTCCGTAACACAAGTGACATCCAATACAGTCAATTTTTTGCGGCGCACCTGAATATACTTGCTGTAACATTAAAAAAAATGGCAGATCAGGTAACTAGCGATGACGCGAGATCGTGAAGCGTCCGTCGCCGCAATGTTCATAGGCTATTAGCTCAACCCTTAAACCACAAGATGTTAGTACAAATTCATCGATATAAGAACATCCCGTATATTCTAGCGAAGATACTGTCTAGAAATGATCATTAATCCTTCTACCCTTTATTTTAATGCTACATATTGTAGCTGTATCCACATCCAAGGGCAAAAACGTAGCAAAAAGTAAGCAACGAGCTCCCGCCCTGAAAAACATTTCAAACTGCCAGCGTAGGACAATGGAGCCTTAACCGAGTTAACCGGACCCCGCAATATGTATCTTTCATACAAAAGGGAAAGAAAAGTAATTTTCCTCTGAAATGTATGAATATTTATGCCGTAAAAAGCCCTCGCATTCATATTTTCACTTAAGTTGAAACTTATACAAGCTTTTTCACTTCGGTCCTTTTTAATTACGACATATTTACATACAGGACAAAAAAGGCAAACAGTGGAGTAGCCAGATTAGTCGACGGGGTGGTCACGGAGGAGACTTAGCTAATTGTTAAGGAACTATGTTCATTACGGAAACGAGATATTGTCTTCTTGAATGTTGAGTGACGTAATTAACGAAAAGGTATAACACTTCGGTCTGTCTGGCTCTCGGTCCTAACCCTAGACTCTTCTATAACTCAGAATGTTCTTATTCTGTTGAAATTTTTCCGAGGGCGTAGGTACGTTTTGAAAGTCGTGCAGCTATGGACACGAAAAACATAAAAATCGCTGAAACTGGCTTTTTAACCGTGTAAGAGATTTCCACTTACTTTAAATTCTTTTCTTTGGTTGTAGACGTAGAAAGACATTTCATTGCTAAGCAGTTTCCGATTGGAGTGATCTGATGCACTGTTAGGTAGAATAGTCACATATGGTTTCCATAAACTTTCCAGGGAGCATTTATTTACGAATTTAAAAATATGGTGAAGGTGCAATCAAAAACTAATCCAAAAAAATGATACAGACTGTTGTAACAAACGTTTGGAACGCATCAAATATCTGTCGAATGACTAATCTATTTTTTTTTAAATTGGTAGGGTTAGGTTCGAAACTGCGGCAGCTTCGTTGATGATATCCGCGATGTTGCCAAATTCACAGTTTTTGAGAAACTGATAGCAATTTTTATTTTTTTCATGGAATGCTATATATTTTATTCGATATTTGTATTCTGCGAGAAATTCTGGATATTTAACAAGCTCATAAATCATATTAAATGTTTAAATTGTCGTCAACACACTTTTTGGCAATAAGCCAGATATTGCGTAAATGCGTTCAAAATATTTTAAAGACATCCGCTTCCCTCGTTTCTTCTGCATTCATTTTTATTCGTTGTTTTAGTTCCTCCAATTCAAAATGGTATTGTATGCTACATCTTTTAATTGACCCCACACTTTTGACCGGATCGAGTTTCGATTATATCGAAAAGGCTTGACATAATCTTTTCTGTTATGCAAGTGCATTTTTTCCAAGGCTAATTTGTCTCGCTTCCATTTCAGCCTCTGCTACTGCATTTGTAACAGAGTGCCTGCTGAATATCCAAACACCTCGAAAACTTTACAACCACGCATTTGTTTGAGACAATGTTCTTACGAAAGAGCCAAGGGATAACAAAATGAATTTATTGGTGACGTATGGACGTCAACAAACAGAAACCACCGTTCTTGACAGCGTACTCGTGCGAGATTCTACATAGGAATCAATTTTTATATATGAGATCAACCTGTCATAAATAGTTAAGCCAGTATGTCAAGCTGTAACCTCTTCCACGCTCACGAACGCTCGGGAAACTTGGCAACCGCGCATTTTTCGGAAAAATGTTTTCTAGAATGTTTCAGAAGCTCAAAAAAGTAATTTCTTGGTGACCTAGGTAATAGGTGGTCGAAGTCAACCTTGTAAATTGAAAAGGCAACCACTCATAAGGTTCTTTATTCAAAAACACTGTCATATTTAGTAACCAAATTCATACGTAGAGGGAATATGCATCGTATTAATATTAGATATAGAGATCCTTTTTTAATTCCACGCCACAGCACGTCTCTATTTTAGTTTAAAAGAAACCAATCCATTATCCAAATTCAAGAAAAAAGTGAAAGAAGTCCTTCTTGATCAGCAGCGAAATCGGTTGTAACCCATAAGTGTCCTCATATTTTCCTTATGTATTTACTTGGATTTTACTTTATTCTGTAGTTATTGTATACAGGTGCCTATTAATTTTTAACAAATTCTTTTTTTACATCTCGTATTGTTAAGGGGGTTAGATGGTAGAATATATATATATAATCTAAATCTCGCCTCCTGTAAGAATATTACAAATAAAACACATTAATTATTATTATTATTATTATTTCTGACAGCATATCCATGATCAGCCTGTCCAGCTGCTTAGGAACCAATTTCTGATACATGAGGTCACAAGTGGACGAATTACTGGGTCAATATGGTGTCAAGGATGGTAGCTGCTATTTTAACTAACCAACTGGTAGTTCCAGATGACGTCTGAGGTCTAGGTCATATCTCAGGAAATCAGCCAACCCCTGCATTAATTTTCTGAAGCTTTTTGTACGAAACCTTTTTCGAAACAAATGCATTGTAGTCTAGTATCCGGGGTGTTCATGTCATTTTCTGACTTTGCCAGGTTAAATGCGTGGTTGCCGAGATTCTAGAGCATACGTCTTCTTTATAGCTTATGACCATCTGACTTGGTCGTACTATCTTGGTCATATATTAAAGGCCACCAATAAATTCCTTTTTAGATCTCCTGAAAGTTTTATAACGACCTTTTTTCAGGAAAAAGCATGACTGATGAGTTTTTGGGATATTTAAGAGAACAGAAAAGAAAACTCATGTACATTCAGTGCGTTAGGAACACGTTTCAAGAAGGATGTCTCTAAGTCTCACTCGCAATTGCTGTGGTCCATTTTTTTAAACTAAACCCAACCTAATGTAATTAATAACAAAATTTCATGAGAAGTACAGACTCAATAATATTAAATCTGTTTTTCACACTTTATGGATTATTTCATAAATAACCTGTTTAAAAAGTAAACAGTCATAAAAGTTTGTATTTCGTATTTCTGTTATCATGGGCTTCTGCCCATCAGCCCATCCTCTTCCAAATTCCAAAACACTTTTATGTGGATTCGCATTGCTTCTACATTATCACCGACGTTTTCTCAACCTTAAAAGCATGTA